GTCATATATATTAATAAAACCTTTCACACAAGTTTATATTTTTAAACAATGTGTGATGAAAAACTATAACAATGTTAGGTTTAATAATAGTTTAAACATGTTAAGTTAATAATAATTTATGGTTTTAAATAAATAAATAAAAAGTTATAAAGTCATTAAGTATTATAAAAGTTTTTTTTTAACAGGAAAAGTTATAATAGAAAGGCCAAGGATATTAACACAATCATTTGGAACATCATAAAAAAAAAAAAAAAAAAAAAAAAAAAACAGTTTTTAGAAAAACCAATTATTAATTTTAACATTTTTATATAAGGAAATTATTTAAAACATAATACTCATGTTTTTTTCTTTATGTTTAATTCAATTTTGATTGTCACACATCATGATGTGTCACACATCATGATGATGTTAATGTTTAATAAAATTTTTTTTTTTTTTTTTTAGATATTTACACTTGATTAGTTTTTTATTTTATAATAAACTGTAGCAAAGAGTATTAATTAAGTTGATTATATATAAATTTAATATAAATGGTTTATTATTATCAAAAAAAATTAGGTTATGACTTACATATACAATTTTCAATAATGCACACAAACACACACTGTCTGTCACCTTCCTTTTCAAGTGGTTTAACTTGAAAGTATTTAGATTTTGATGCTTATCAATAATATTATTTTATTCTATTCGATATTTATTAAGTGTTAATTATTAATGTAACAAACAACTGACACATAATAATGATATTAATTGATTTATGCATTTCATGTATTAGATTCATCATACAACAAATCATATGCTTTTTTTTCATGGCGGGTAAAATTATAATAACATGCACTCTAACGATAATTTATATTAATATTTTTCGATAAAAACATAAAAAATAATTAAAACTTATCTTTTTTTAAATATAAATACTTGAAAATAAAAACTTGAGAGATTAAAATCAAAAACTGAATAACGTTATTAAAACTTTCCATTATTCTCCTTTTTAACGGCAAAAAATCAACAAGTACCAACTTTAAGAAAAAATTAAAAATGGCGGTTAAATTTATTTACCTATTTAAAACCTATCATTATTGAAATCCGTTGCAAAAAATAATTGTTTTTAATTTAAAAAAGAAAAATGAAATCACTGACCTGATATCACTTGATAAATGAAAATAAATAATAATAATAATAAGGTATATATATATATTTATATAAATCTTATTTATTTTTTTGGTTTAATTTACGAAATATTATTGAAGATTTTAAGAAAAAAAAAAAAAAAACACGACTCTCGATCTTTTAACACCGATAAGTTAACTAACTGACGTTCACAACATACCTGTTTGTTGTTCCCACTTCTAAAGATCGTACCTGTTTATTATATTATAGTGCTAAAAGGATTTATAAATTCGTATTTATTTAAATTTATATTTCTTTTTTTTTTTTTTTTAATATATATCATATATTACAAATGCAAATTTAAAATGTTAAAACAATTTCCTGATACCCTTTCATACCAGTTTATATCACTTTTCCAGCAGAAAAAATAATTTTCTAAATTTTAAAAAATATATTTATTTTAACAAAACAAAAATACAATGTGATTTAAATTAAATTAATAATAATGAGCCCAAAAAAAAAAAAATGGAGAATTCAAAAGTAAAAAAACTACTACAATCAAATTATACAATTATTATTATTATTATTTATTGTAAATATGATAATTATCTGATTGTATTTGTTTAAAATAAAACAATACATTTTTTTTTTTTTTTTGAATAAAACTCTTATAATATTTTAATAAATAATTATTTTTACTTTTCATTTCCTCTTACAACAACAGGGTAACAATCACAATGACAAACATTATATTTTTATTTTTATATAATTTATTATAAATTAATTATTTTATTTTGTAAGAAATTTGAGACAACAATGTTTGTTTTATTTGGGCGGATTATGATCACAGAAAAACACAGGCCTACTATTTTTTTTAATACAATAAACAAAACAATATTTAATAACAAAAAAACCATTTTTTTATTAATTATTACGATAAACAATTTACCATTTACATAATTCGGAATTAATTAATTAATTAATAATAAAAATTAATATAAAATAATCAATAAATCCTTTTTTTATTTTTATTTAAATTATTGAAAATAAATCAACACACATCACACACTCAAAAAATTATTTATTTATTATTAAAACAATTTAATAATTAACAAAACCACAATTTAAAAATCACAGAGAACAAAAATTTATTTATTTATTTATTCTGAAAATTATTTTAAAAAAAAAAAACATTATTAAACTAACATAAATACATATATATTTTATTTTTTTAACAATTTTTTAACAATAAATAAAATTTCAAATTTCAAATAATTTTTTTTTGTCAATAAATAGAAAATTCCTCTCACTATTACAATTATTATTATTAATTTATTATTATTTTTTTAATTAATTTTAATTTCTCATCGAAAAATATAATAATAATAATGATAAAATAAAAATTTGGCCAAATCTAATTTTGGAAATTAAGAGGAATGTTTTTTTTTTTTAAACAAAAATGCCAAAACGAAATTTAATTAAATTTAATTTAATATATATAAATTTTGGCATATATTATTGTTATAAACGTAATTTATTTTGGCAAAATTAATTTTATTTCGTAATAATTTTATTTATTTATTTAAAAAAAAACGATAAAAAACAACAACAAAAACAATACAAAAAAAAAAAAAGAAAAACATTTTAAAATAAATTTTTTTTTTTTATAATGAAAATTTATTAAAACGATAATAATTATTAAAATATTATTATTATTATTATTAATTATTGAAAATTGAAAATTGAAAATTTTTATTATTATTATATAGATATATATTTATAACAAACACATTTTTTTTTTTTTTTTTTTCTATTCAACTATAAAATTTTTTATTAAACTTTTTATTTAAACAAATTTTATTATTATTATTATTATTATTATT